CTCCCTAACTCCCCCTTTTTTCTCACAGCCTACCGACTCCTTCTGCATGTGCCCTAGCCACTAGCAGACTGGTTGGGGTGTATGCCATTGCCCCATCTGGCTGTGCCAGGGGCCAGAGAACAAGTGTGTGCCATCACAGGTGTTACAGACACCAGACCAAATAGACACCTTCAAAGAGGCATACTATCCAGGGCTCAAACGCTTTTCCCATTAGTAACAAAGACAGAAGGCTTTCTTACAAACATCGGGAAATCATAAGCCAACAATGTGAAATCATATAAATCCCTCCAGCATAAAACAGTTGAAAGCAATGAGGATCTCTTGTCTATTAAGAGGGACATGGAGAAACCCTGTGGAATGTTTTCAGAGGCGGGTGTTCTCAGTGTAAACGATTGCTGAGCTATCCCGTGCAATCTGAAGCTAGAGAAGAAAGAAAACAAGCCAACAGCATGGCGCCGAGGGCCTTGGAGTGCAAGCCACTTGTCTTCCATGGAACCTGATCCCCGGAAGCTCTCCCAGAAAGGATGAGAGTAAGCGAAAATGGGAATCCATCTCAGTTGACTTTGTGATCACATTTTTGATAAAAATTGTCCAAAAATGATCTTTAAGGTATTTTTTTCTAAATTTCAATTATACCTCCCAGCATTGCTCACTGCCCCATGATCCCCAACCCAATGTGTACCCATGATTATCAGGAATCCGGTAGGCAAAACAAAAACAAAAAGCTCTGCAGGGATTTCAAAACCATTTTGTGCCAAAATAAACTCTTAATTACTGTGTCAACCTTGATGGTGTTTAAGGTGAGTTTATTTTTTTTTAATTTTTACCTTTCAATGCGATTCCTCTGCAATCATTTTCAAGCCTCCTAATAAGCCCATCGGCCTTTCTTCTTGGCTTTGAGGAAACTTGACTATCATAATTTATTTAACCTATCAGAGTTAAGTAACCAAAACGATACTTTTATTTCAAGGATGCTTTTAATATTCTAATTTGTTTTCAGAACTCCTGTAACAAGGAACATAAAGAAGTCCCTCAAGGTAATTTAGAAAGAACAATATTCAGGACACATTCAATAATTAAAGTACATAAAATTGTGTCCACCAAAAATGATGTGTTGGAATCGCAACTCTTAAACTTTGTGGAGAGAGAGTCCTGGGGAGATAGTGGGTTATGTGCTAGGCTGTGAACTGCAAGGTTAGCGGTTCGAGGGAGAAAGGCGAGACTTCCTGTTCTTGTAAAGCTTTACAGCCTCAGAAATCCACGGGGCCATTCTACTCTGTCCTATAAGGTTGGAATCCACTCAATGGTGATGCATGAGATGCTTGCGAATATAATCCCAATTTGCCAACAGGGTTTCCTTTGTAATGTTAATGGAGCCATAACTGTGTAGGGCACGATTTACACTTACCGTATATACTCAAGTACAACCCAACCCGAATAACAGCCGAGGCACCTAATTTTAGCACAAAAACTGCATTAAAAATGTGCTGAAAAACTTGACTTATACATGAGTATATACACTAATTACTTTTGAGATATATAAAAAGAGCAGATTGGATAAACCAGCACAATAGATTCTAGTAAGGAAGAGAGATAACTCAGGAACTCTGGGTCTACCAACCTCACTGCCATCCAGTGGATGCCGACTCATAGTGACTCTATGGACAGACAGAACTGCCCTCTAGGAGTTTCTGAGACCGGAATTCTTTACGAGAGTCGAGAGCCTGGTCTTTCTCCCACTCTGATTCTACAAAGACTCAAAAAAAATCAGGATCACCCCCAAACCTGATAAAGAGCCTTCCCCTAGAGCAGTGGTTCTCAATCTGCGTAATGCCATGACCCTTTCATACAGTTCCTCATGCTGTGGTGACCCCCCAACCGTAAAATGATTTTCATTGCTACTTCAGAACCATAATTTCGCTACTGTTATGAATCAGGCAATCCTCTGGAAGGGTCATTCGACCCGGTTGTGACCCACAGGTTGTGAGCCACTGCCCTAGAGCCACGTGTAACCTCTTTCATCTGAAAGAAATCTTGACGGTGTTAACCAAAAGGTCTGCCGCCATCAGCTGCCCCAGAAGATAAAAACCCCGAAGATTTGCTCCCATAAAGACTGACAGCCTCAGAGCCCCTATGATGGAATTCTAGTCTGTCTGACAGACCCACTGAGAGTTGGAACCAACTCAATGGCACGCACAAGGAACGGAGAGAAAATAACCTGTTCTTGAAAGCCACCTGGGAGTGGTTCTTCCGTCACAGGAGCACCAAGAGACCTGCTCCTACATCGCTGAATAAAACAGCTTATTGGGAAAACGGGTGACATTTTATTGGGTACCCTGTTCATCCTTGGGTCTTTTCTTCTTAATCTCTAAACTCATGTGTTTTTACACAATATGTATGATATTAAAAATAATCCATCAGACATTTTTTTTCAATGATACATTTATTCTTAGTTCTTGTAATTTTTCCTGATTTTAAATGGCTGGTAAACTTGAATTTATTCCACTAGGTGGTAGTATAGAGAGTGTAGATGGAATAATCCAATGCATGAACACTATTTCTAGATAAGTACCCAACAAACCTTTTAAGTAATAGTCTTATCCTTAGTAAGGTAAATTATAGACTCCAATGTTTCAGTGAGTACTAACATTTTATTTTCTGAAATCTAAGCCAGGCCAGTCCTGCTTTCTAAATGCTTCAAGTACTGGTGTCAAACACAGATTAAGTAATTTAATCCTGAAATGAGTAGTTACATTATCTTTTCATGAAAAGAACTTTATGCCTGCACTAAAAGTGGCCACGCTGCTTCAAGATTAAGGAAGAAGTAAAATGCAATTCACCTAACAGGAAGGGAGCCTGGTGACTGGGTCCGTTTCTCCGCTCAGGAACCAGCATTCAGCCTTTTGCTTTAATTGTCCCATCCATTCTGGAAAGCAGAGTTCTGTGCTGCTTCCGTGGTTAAGAGTAAATTATTATATACTAATCAGATGGCAGTGAACAGAACCACATGCTAGCAAGGTCAACTAGGAAGAAGCTGAAGGAGGTATAACTGATAAGCTGTTAGGTCACAGCTTCA